CTCGAAGTTCTGATGAACTTTGCTTTCAGCAATCTCTCAATTTCCCCTTTGATTTTCTCGATCACTTCAGGAGCAAATCTTCGAGGACTTTGTTTCACGGGCTTCCTTCCTGGGATCATTGGTAGCCTATGTTCTACCAATTCTCGATCCAGACCTGGCATTTCATCATAATCCCATGCGAAGCAATCTTTGTATTCATGCAAGACTTGAATTATCTCCCCTTTCAGCTCCCCTTGCAAGAACTTGCTAATGTAAGTGATCCGCTTATTTTCGATAGTTCCCAGATTAACCTCTTCGAGCGGATCTTGGGATTCTAACTTATGCTCTTCATTAGCGGCACTCTCGAAACCCAAAGGTGAATCATCAAAAATGCAATCCAGTTTGAGTTCTAGCTCTGCTTTTTCTTTTTGCTTTTCATTTTTATCTGAGACTCCTTCGTCCCTTTGATTTTCTGTTTTTTGCTTTTCTTCCCTCTTTTTCCCGATTTCGAACTCCTTTTCTTTTTGTTGTTTTTCTTTTTCCTTTATTGATTCGAAATCCATCTCTTTTTTTTTTTTTTTTTTTTCTTCAGCCAACATAGCCGTGCTAACCTCATTGTCAAATTGATCTTTATCGGCCAAATTGGCCGTTTGATCGGCCACGTAGGCCGATATTCGAGCTAAAAAGCTCGAATAAGGATCTTCGTCCTTCATGCATCCAAAGGAGCCGAATTCTTTTCGGCTCGAATAACGAATCCTCTCTTTACATCCCAACAAAAGGTTTTCTTGACACCTTTCTCTTCATCCATCACCCCAGAGTTGTAAGCGTCAAAAGGTTTGGTCTTGGCAAATGCTGTCAGTTGTTGATCAGCAAAATACATGCCAACTTCATAAGTCTTCTGATCAGCTTCGAGAACCTCTAAACCTTCATCATCGTTCCAGAAGAAAACCTTCTGGTGTACGGTCGAAGGAACAGCACCTACACCATGGATCCACTCCCGACCTAGCAACACGTTGAAGTTTGCTTTGGAAGGTGTTACTATAAACATGGTAGTCCTCTTCACACTTCCGATCTGTACATCGAGCAGAATCATACCTTCAGGATGTGAAGACTTGCCTGCATAGTCGGAGATCATGATGTTATGGGGTTTCAGATCATCCAAGGATTTCCCAAACCTTTTCAGCATTGTCTTAGGCAAAATATTCACAGCTGCGCCTCCATCGACCAAGACCTTGTTTACCTCTTGCCCCTCAATCATCAGTGTTAACAATAGGGGTTTGAGATGTCCTTTCATTTCCTCTGTGGGAGAGTCGAAGACAGCAGAGTTGAACTTAGGGATAACCCTCGAGATTTGATTGACCCATATGATTTTGGACTCATAATTGGGGTCCTCGAAAACGTCTTCCCTGATGATATCCTCTTGTTCATTCACGGATTCCATAGCACCAGCATACTCCGAAGGTAAAATGGAAACTACCCCGCAAATATCTTCCAAAGAATCCTCGAAACCGCTCTCGAAGCAGTTTGTTATCATGTCTTCATCGTCTTCGATGAACTTGCCAGAAGATTCCCCTTTTTGAGGAACTGGGATCGAAAAACGATTTCCTCCCATACCTTCAAAGGTTGCTTTACGCATCCTTTGCTGCCTCCTCCATTGGGTTTTGGTTAAGTTGTTAAATGGCTGTCGAAATCCACGTCCATATCCCCCAGCTGGAATTCCAACATTCCCTGTAGTCAAGTTCGAAAATTTTCCTGCATTTCTTTGTCCCGGGTTTCCCATGCTAGTCATTACTTGTTTACCTCGACCCATCATAGACCTAGGTGGTGCGTTCCATGTCCCGACAGGCACATTCGCGTTCGGCACAAAAGTATTGCCGAACCTAGACGAGTTATACATCTCCATCTTCCCAACCGGGGCATTATATTGAGGCATATGAACTTGCCTCATAGTCAGACCAGCATTCAACCTAGCATTGGGCTTCATTTTTTCACGCAGCTTCTCAGCTTTGTAATTCTTCATTATTTCAGACTCCTCGAAAGCCTTAGCCGCTGCTCTGTCGAAGACAGCACTGCATCGAGGACACAACATGACCTCTTTATCAGCTTCTTTTTTCTTCGATAAAAACTCCACCAGACTATCTCCTTCCTTTGGGTATATGGGTTCTTGCTCTTTAGCAAAATCCTCCATTAACTCTTCGAGCTTCTCATCAGAAATGGGCTCAATGCTATCATCGTCCTCAGCAGCGACTTCCACCATGTTGATGGACATCGAAACTGGTTCAACATAGCCAGTATGGGCAGCAAATGGGTCAACATCTACTTTCATTTCCTTCTCTTCAAAAGCCAGGCGACCATCAGTAATCGCCTTCTCGATGAAATCCCTGAAACGCACACAACTGTTAGTCCAATGTCCATACATATTATGATATTTGCAGAATTTCTTTCCTTTTCTTTGCTCGAAAGGTGGAATTTTATGATTCTCTGGGAGTATAATCTGTTTATCTTTTAACAAAGTATCGAATATCTTTTCTGCCTTACTAACGTCAAAACTATATTTTTTAGTCGAATTCCCTTCTATATTACCTCCTGGTTTTAGCATTTGACATTGGTACGTAGGTCCAGGGCGCAATTCTGCCAAATTAATCTCGAAATCTTCACTTACAACTTCATAATTAGAATCCTCATTTAACTCAGAACTTTCTAAATACGCTATCTTTTCTTTTCGAACGAACTTGTCGAATTTCATCAACTTTTCCTTTTCTAATTTAATTTGTTCAATCCTCCTCACTTTCTCAGCAAGTTGAGCCATGTCCCTCAATTGTTCATTTACTAATTTTTTGCGTATTGAGAAGTCTAAACCTGTGGCGGCGATTCTAACCAATTCATGTTCTGGAATATTAGTATAGCATCGAGATTTTAATTGCCTAAACCTATTTAAATAGTCATCTAATGTTTCATTACTTTGCCTTTTGATATTCATTAGATCGACTATACTAACCTTTGTTTCCTCTCGAAAGAAATGCTCATGAAAGCTACCCTCTAGCTGTACCCAAGTATGTATCGAATTAGGAGGCAAGGTAGTAAACCAGGTAAAAGCATGTTTAGTCAACGAACTTGGGAAATATTTCATTTTCAAGTATTCATTATTAGCCAAATCCCCACATTCGACCCCATACCTAGCTATGTGTTCAACTGTTGACTCAGTTAATTCTCCTGCAAATTTCGAGAATTTTGGGACTTTCACTCCACGGGGTAATTCTACTTGTGTAATATAATCTGGAAAGGCTGACACAAAGTATGGGCGTTCATTTCGACCTACATCGAATCCATGTCTATTCAATATCCTTTCTACCATTTGATCTAAATTATCATTAGGGTTCCTGTTAGGTCGAACTATGTTTTGCAAATTTCCATGCCCCCCAGGGTTTTCTGTATCGTTCAGATTCACACTCATTGCTCTCGAAGGAGTCCCATTACCCAACTTATCTCCTATTTTGTTTATTAGCTCGTAAAGGGGTGTCATGATGTTGTGCATCTGAGTAGACAACAAATTGACCATGTCATGATTACTATGGTCCATTTGTTGTCGAAGGGCCATCATTGCTTGATTACTAATACCCGTGGGCATGTAACTACCTTGTCGAATTAATGAACCCTCCTGACTTGTTCCTACATGTTGATACGGGTCTTGCATAACAAAACCCAGTCCACTTGGCCCAGGATTATATCCCTGTGGGGATATATTCATTTGTGAATTTGGCCCTATAAAAGGCATTGACATTTCGACATACGCAGGCTGGGTATTTCGCCAATTAGTTGGCATACCCCAAGGGTACTCTCTAGTAACATTTACCAACTCTTGAGTGGTATTATTATGCCTAGCATGGTTTTCAAGCAACACAGGAGGAGATCTTGCCCCCCTGGTCACATTGGTAGCATTATCAGGATTGGAGTTAGGCTGTTCTACATCTACATTATTATGGTTTACGTTCATGTTATCAGACGTAGACATAGTTCTTCCACTCCTTAATCTCATGCAATTCACACACCTAAAACTAGTCCAATTATGTTCTAAATTAAACGGGTCCCACCGGGCGTGCCAATTTGTTTACGGTGGAATTAACCATCAAATCCTGGGTTCTTTTTATTTAGACTAGCATACGAACGTATTTCAATTTAGGTGTCTTACTGTGCGTTATCGTGTTACCGAGAATGGAGAGTAGGATGAAAAAGTCTTAGCAACTACTTGTTTCGAAATGTTCTTCTATTACTACTAACAAGCAATGCTCATGCAAGCAAATAATAATATGAACAGAGTGAACAATATATATGTTAGCAATGCAAATCATAGTTCATTTCGTACAATGATCAAATTACGTTACACATGCGAACATATTGATCCCAGTACATGAATACACTACGTAATTAAACAAAGAACAAGAAGACTATTCTACTTCTACTCCTAAAAAAAAGAAAAAAATGGCCGAGAGTCAGTCATACCCAAAAACGATCTTGTGCACGAAAGCCATGTGTGTGTGTAGGCAGAGAGTGCTTCAGAGTCCAATTCTAGTATGAGTTTTTCGACCTCAGTAAAGGTCCGTACTCCTTGTATTTATAGAGCAATCAAGGGCGGTTAATTCTGTACATGTACGCTTTTGACTCATAACCGCTATCCACTATATTTGCTACGTGGTCTTGACTCACAACTTCCTTTAACCGCTCTTCCCACGTTCCTTGTTTCCTCGATTGATTTTTTGGTAACCGTTTTGGCTTAACCTCCATGTTCTAAGAGTCTCAACTTTTCAACTATTCTCGAGCAACACTTGTTTTTTCGAGTCCCATAATTTCGAGTGCTCTCACGCCCCACATGAGATTAGTCACAAGTATTCAGCATGTGTTGATTTTACTTCTCAGGCAGCGCTATCAATTTTTTCGAGTCACATGATTTTCGAGTACGCCTAACAAGTACATAACATGATATGGCCACAACAAATCATCCTTGTATTATAGAATGCAATGAATCATATGTAACTGAAAACAAATTAAATTATTGTTTATTAAAATCATACTTTACTAGACTCGTTATAAAATTTGAAAGCTCACATTAACTACAAGCTAACACTTCAAACATTGAACATGGATTTAATACTTAGTGACTACTATTGCATATACTTGTGTTTTATTTTTCCATTTCAGGTAAGTTGCATATGCATTTTATCTTGCATATGCACTTCATCATTCATCAATATTATTTTAGATCCTCATGACATCAAGGCATTTCTTCCCTTGTGGCTTGCTTGAAAAGTATATTTTGTAGTAATCTCCTGCGACAATTTGCTTGAATAATGCAGGTCTTTCAGTAGTAACAAGACTTTGTGTTGGGTGTATTACTTGGTTCTGAAGAGGTCCATGAAAGGTGACAATGGAAATTCTCTCTTTTTCCGAGTTAACTGTTGCCCGATGTTCGACACTTCGATAAATTCCATTGGTTATAATCTGTCAAATAACCATTTATAAATGTAACAAAAATTATTTCAAAAAATCTATAATTCATTAAAAGCTTTAATATGTTTTTAGCTTCCGTAATTTGAAGAGAGAAAGAGCATGTTTTAGTCCCTCTACTTAAACATCATTTGTGAATTTGTCAAATAAAATACATATATTATTGTATTTATCAGAAAATTTTCAATTAATTGTGCATAAATAACTCAATTTGTCATTGTTAAAGATGTTACTTGTGATATTGAGAGACTAAAGTAATAATTTTTAGAATTATAGAGACTAAAAAAATTAATTATAAATTAAAGGAAAAAAATAAATCTATCCTAAATTTAATAGATTAGAAACATGTTTAAGTCTATTAAATTTTGTTATGGCCATGATCGTATGCTCATACTCTTTAGAACATTGGATGTTTGATTAATTCTTATTTAGACATTAATTTAACCTTAGCTACATATATATATTTGTTACGATTTAAACCCCATATAATGTGTAGCTGATGCAAAATTAAATTTTTAATGAATCTATTCTTTATGGTTAAGTGTTTATTAGAAAGTTTATTCTTACTCGCTCACAAAAGCACTAGAATATGTAAAATGATAAGTAAAGCTTTTGACAAATTTTAGGCCAATTACCTCTAAAGTGTCTCCAACGATAATGGCGAAAGCATTAGATATGGGTTTAATAGGTATCCATTTTCCATCCTTTTTTACTTGGAGGCCTTCTATTTCATTGGCTTGAAGAAGGATGCTAAGGCCACCAGCATCAGAATGAGGATCTAATCCAATAACATTTTTTGGTTGGGGACATGGAGGGTAATAATTCCATCTCATTGCTTGAAATAAATTTTCAAAAAACTCTAGCACTTCATTTCGTTTAATCTTTAGCGCTATTGTCATATACTCAATGATTGTGATGCAAAGTTTTTCCATTTCTAAAGAATAATTCTCCAAGCTAATCCTGCATTTGAAACAATTTGTTAGAGTTGCCTACATAATCACTCAACATACTGTTGGCAAATAAATACTAAGAGAATGGGAGCAACCTCAATGGATCGGGGAAATTATTAAAAAAGCGTGGATTCCTTATGAAAAGTGGAAGAGTGTTGATGAAGAACGGATCTATCCAATCCAACTTTTTTTCATCAAATACAGAATGACCAAAGCCCTCAAAATCTTCTAGGGTTAGCCAAAAGTTCTTCTTCTCTTCCATTGGAAGATTCAAGAACTCTTGAACACCTGTCTTCAAATTTTCCACCAAGGAAGGGTTGACTCCATGATTGATCAACTATAATTAATTTGAAGTTAGAAATCATACAACAGTTTATACAATAATATTTTTGTGTTTATTACATCATTTATTACATATCTTACTTTTCTTAATTTCTTTCAATTTTAATTGAAATTTTTGCTATAAGGTTGTTGCATGAAACTATCAACAAGGATGATAATAAACTAAGCAAACTCAAAAATAATTTGAAACTTGAATCAGTTCATTAAACTTTGTTTATGACTAAATGAGTTGTAATTGAACTAAAAATTGAGCTTGATAGGTAAAAGAATCAAACTTAAATTACATATAATTCAACTTATTTGACTCCATATTTATATATCTATATATGTGTGTGTGTCCGTGCACGGACATGTATGTGGGGAGGGATTCACATGTTCTAAGAGTAAATCTTGGTAAGGTTACTTCATTCAATAAACTATGGTTTACATTAAATTTTAATGATCCAATTGATAAATTAAAAATTCTTAATGAGTAGATCAAGTTTACAAGTTTTTACAAAATTTGATAATTATTTGATATTTCTTTATGTAGATTCAAATTAACATATATAAATAAAAATATTTTATACATCAATTTGAATCTACAAAACAAAGTATCATATGGTTTTTAATTTTATAAAAATATGCACACTTAATCTATTCATAAAGAAATTTAATCGATGATTAAATTGTTAAAATTCAATATTTATCATTAGTTATTAAATGGTTAACTCTTGGTAAACTTACTTCACTCAATAAATCATATTTTACGTCAAATTTTAATTATTTAACAAATGAATTAAAAGTTCTTAATATATAGATCAAATCTACTAATTTTTAAAAAAAAATTGAAAATCATATGATACTTTAATATATAGATTCAACTCAACATATAAAATATTTTTATGAATATCCATTAATTTAAATTAATAAAAAAAGTATCAGATAGACTTCAAGTTTTTCAAAATTTTGTAACTTAATCTATACATTAAAAAAATTTAATTTAATAATTAGATTATTTAAAATTTGATATAAGATATAAATTATTGAATAAAATAAAATATGTAGAATATATTAAAACTTACACTTGGAATTAACTAACTAAACTATGTTGTTCACAAACTTGAATACAAATTTGTTCTAAAAAAGAAAGGTTCATAATGAAACTCAAGTTAAACACAAAATATTATTAAATCAATTAGCCGAACTAAGGTTGACTCGGTTTGATTTGTTTTTAGCCTACTATTAATACTGCCTCTTGTGTAGATTAAGGTAATCTTACTAGTCAATATAGTTTCATTAAAATGTGCATTATTGGCCTTTTTCATTTTAATGATGTGAACTTTATGGATGTAATTTTGCAAGACTTTTTTAACTAATTAAAAAAATAATAAAGGAAGAGTATTAATTCAAACCTGGAAGAAACCCCATTCCTTACATGCATGGTCTAGCTTCTCTAGCTCATCTCCATCTCCAGATACCAATTTACTGAGGTCGATGATTGGGACCTTTGATAAAGAGGTTGTGTCAGTTGAAGTATCTAGATTTGGACGAAGATATTGCGGTGGAACTTTGGTGATTGGTTGCTTTGCCAGCTCTTGGACACAAGGCACCATTAAAGAGGCTTCTCCAAACTTTGACATTGTCTTCAGCTATTGAATTCTCTTGCTTGGGTCGGACCTAACACGTACGTTTGGGTTATAAAGGTTTCCCAACCATATTTTAATTTCATTTTCATTCTCAATAACTCAAATAAAAACTATAAATAATGTGTGAATATATTAATAGTACATAGTCATAATAAAATTAGATATTGTTCTTAGATATTGTATTAGAAGACTTTTAGTAAAGAAAGTGTGATTATTTTTTAATGAGTATAAATCACATGAAATTTACTAAATATATTAAGGTAAACAATAATGACAATGGACTATGCATTGACAATATAAATTAATATAAAGTAGATTTACACACTCATTCAATCACATAAATCAATATATATTGAATTTGTTGAATTTTACAATATTTATCTTAAAAGTGATATTAAAAATAACTTTTTATTATTTAATAAAATAAAAGTTTCTATATATACAATACTATTGAATCTTAAATATATAATTAGAAACATTGTTCATTTAAATTATATAAAAATAACTTGTGTCAACATAGTAATGATGGTTGGGATAGTTTTTATCCATGATGCCGTCACTATAATTTTAATGAATAAAAAAATTTATTAGAAGGTAAAAATACTCATTTGATCCCTTATAATTTTTTAGGGGTTAATTTAGTCTCATTTTATTTTTTTGGTTTAATTTAGTTTCACTTTATTTTAAAATGTTTAAATATGGGACGTCAGTCCAAATTTTACTGACAGTGTTAATTCAATGTCACATGACTAGCAGTTTCATGTCAATGTGGGACTCCATTTAAAGCATTTTAAAATAAAGTGAGACCAAATAAACTCAAAAAATAAAATGAAACTAAATTGACCCCTAAAAACATTATAAGAGACTTTTATTAGAAAGAAGAAAAAAAAACATAATTTGCTCTAAGGCTACATTTGTGAACACCTAGCACCAAGGCTAACTTTAAATCCAAAATGTGTTGATATTAATTATTATATAGATCATAAACGTCCCACAAAATTTGCTTTATATTGAGAGATCCCAGCAAATCCGTTATAGCTGCAGAAACAAAGTCCATACAAACTGATAGAAGTAAAAGAATGACAAATATTAATTCATTCACATAACAAGGAAAATGGTATATACTGAATGGAAACAAACAAACCATAGAAACTTGTAGTGAATATGCATCAGCAGAACCAAATAGAAGTTTAAAGAGGCCAAAACCAGTAAGTTTCAAAATCCATATCCAATTGAAAGTCAACAACCATCAATAGAGAAAACAGGTACAAGAGTGAGATTCTTGTTACCTTCACTAGTAAGGCTAAAGATAGTTTCAAAGTTGATTCAAGATTCCACTATGTAAGATGAATGAAAGGCTCGAATAATGGAAGTGGAATAAGGAGATTGTTGAAATGAAAGGCTTGAATGTGGCACCCGGTTATATCATTCTCTATATATGTAGAGAGAGGAGGAAGGATTCAAAAGATACTTGTATAGTAACTATTAAACTGTTTAATAATTTTACATTAAATATAAATTTTAAAAAATTAATCATTATAAATTTTTTACATGTAGATTATATATACAAAATTTTATATTAATTGAAGATGATTTGATATTTTATTCTTATATAATAAATTAATATATATATATATATATATATTAAAATATGAACAATTTAATTACCTTCAAATTACTGTTTAATTTTAACAAAATTTTAATATAAATATATTCAATGATATGAAATTATAATTCAATGGTTTAATCAATAAAATTCACATTTGATATAAAATTATTGAACAATGTAATAATTAATAAAAATTAAACAAATGTGATTTGAACCCTCTTTTCACTATATATAATTATATAATTATCTTGTGCAATAGTGGTTAAGAGTTTCCTTTTTAACGGGAGTATTTTGAGACGTTTTCACTGTTAAGAAAAATTTAAAACTTATTATTAATTTCAAATCGTATTTATCAAAGTTATTTCTAATTAAATTTAAATATGTATTTTTTAAATAAATTACCGATATTTGAAAATAATTTGTCTCACAATATATATCATTTATTATAAATCTGAAATGTATTTATTTATAAAAATTTAAATATAATATAAATTATATATTCAAATATAATTATATATAATTTATTATAAATTTAATTATGTAATAAACATTTAACTTGTGTAATGTATATATTTAATTAAATAATTTAAATATAGTTTAATAATTCATATTTATTATTTTTCCTTGTCGAAATAACCAAAAATATTTTACCTAAAGAAGTAACCGTATATTTTATTTCAAGTATAAAGTAGACGATGTATAAAAAAATTTAAAAAAAGAACAGACTGAAAACAAGAAACAGATTATACAAAAAAAGAAAAAGAAAAAGAAAAAAAGGAACAGTTTAATTCAAAGGATAATGAAGATCAAGATAGAGTTAAACAAATCAGGCCATAGTTATTGCCGGCAGCACTGTATCAAACCCAAACCTCTTGATTCCTTAGACTCTTGATTTGTCAACTTTCCCCTGTTTTCTTTGCATGTTGTGGGAAAGTCGGCATTCAAAATATTACAAATGTCAAAGATGTAGCCATTTAGTGTAGTATATTAAATTTTTTTAATGTATTATTAGTACAAAATATTCATTTGGTTTTCATGTAATTATTTTTTATTAAAAATTTAATTTCTTACTTTTCGTGAAATTTCTTTTCTCGATTATAATTTTTTAATATATAAGATTTCCACTCGAGATTACATTAATGAGACATTTAGTACAAGAATTCTTTTTTATTTTTTTTAGGAATATGAAGTTGAAAAAATCCCACATTTGATTTACTAATTAAAAATAATATTCCTAGAAAACATTGTTTTCTAAGAATAATTTTTACTTGTTTTTTCATTAAATTGTTCTTATGTTGTAGGAAAGAATATAACATTCTCAAATTAATTGAAAAGTTTTACTATAGGGAAATTTCATGTTACATTTATTTTTATATTTATTTAATATAGTAAAAAAAAATTATTCCTAAATATAATATATTAATATTTTGAAAAATATTTATGATCAAGCAAATATGTTTTAATTATTTATAAGAATCGGGATTCTCAGTTTCTCACTATAAATTTTCAATAATGACGATTATTAAACATGAAAAAGAATTTCCTTTTACTAAACACTTTTTTTAAAGAAAAATTGAATTTAATATTACTCGAAGTAACAACTTAATCACATATAAATGGATAAAAAAAGATGCTATTGACAAAAAAAAATATAAAAAAACTAATTCTCATACAAAATCTTAGTCATCGGTGAAATTGACGAAACCTATAATATTGTAAGCCAAAAGATAATGGTTTTATTTGTTTTAGACACGCATATTATTGTGTAATATTCGCATCTTGAATCCTTGTAAGATCAAAGCGTGATTTTTAGTTGTAGCACATTTTTCGCTGACAATTCTTTTGAACAATGCAGGCCTTTCTGCGGTAAAACGACTTACCTATAATTTTGTTCATTTTCGATCGACATGTGAAATGTGGTAAATGGTAATGAACACTATTTCTTTGAATTAATCGTTCTTCGATATTCAATGTTCCTATAAATCCTATTGGTCAATATCTTCCAAATGAAGGTAAATAAATCTTAAAAATAGAAAATAAAAATGTTTATATTGTGTCAGATTAAATATGTTAATTGAGCCATGTTTTATAGTTTAATGTTTATTTTTTGAAAAACAAAATAAAAATTTTATAGATGCTAAAAAAACAACTTTGAAAAATCAGACCAAACCAACCAGTAAAATAAAGGAAAAAACTTAGTGTTCTGTAAGTGAAATTGGTATTGTTATCCAATTAAAATTAAAATTTTACCACATTATATGTATTTATATTTAATACAACTCTTATTAATATACACTCACATAATATTATTGAAGTAAAACTATAACTATGTTTCAATCACATCTAAAAAATTGTAGCTAAATTTATTTTAAAATAAACTATAAAACAGATATGGAGAAAAACCAGTCAAAAATCAGAAAATAAAATTGGGTGAATAAACTTTTCAAAAAAGTTAGGATGTATTTACTTCTATTTTCATTTCCTATTTTTCACTGTTTCTTATGCATCGAGGGCATTCGTTATTTCTAAAAGCTTAGATAATTTGATTTTTTTTTTTGGTCATGAGATTATATATTTTTGTAAAAGTTTATAATTTTTTTTAAAGTATTATAGAGTAGTTTTTGCCTCTACAAAAGGATATTTCTGGAGCTATCACTACTTGACATAGCTTAAAAACAAATTTGACAACTGCATGCACACCATCATTATGTGTAAAGAAATTAGATGATGCTAAAGATTGAGGGACATGCGTTTATGAGACACATGTCAACCTACTAATTGTACTATATACATTTCAAATCATACAAATTTTCAAGCCATACACCTTTTACATCACCACCTTAAAGCCTTGAAAAGTTGGGTCAATGAGTGATAAGAAAGCCCATATATATGGCCTAAGATAGTAACTTCCATTGCATTTGTTCTAAGGTTTGTCCAAGTGGCACAAACTATCTGATAAAGCTTTGAAAAGTGATTCAACACTTTGGCGTTGTTGTATCATATTATATACATTAGTCATTAACTGCCTTTTGTGTACAAGTTTTATTTTATATATCTCAGGAAAAGTTTTACTCAGATGAATTTGTATCATTTATCAATCTCATTTTGGATCTTGACGAAATCAAGGCATGATTTTCCTTTTAGTTCGCGTGAAAAGAATTCTTTGTAGTAATCTCCAACAAGTTATAGGAAACAAGAGATGATTCCTTGTGTTTATTGGAAGAGTGTTAGTGAAAAACATATCTGTCCATTCAAGTTTTTGATTCTCAGACACAACAAACAATTGACCAAAACCCTCCAATTCTTCTTGGGTCTGTCAAAATTTCTTCTTCATTTCCACTGGAAGACTTGAGAACTCTTGAATATCTCTCTTCACATTTTCCAATAATAAAGGGACGACTCCATGAATAATCAGCTGTAAATGATTTCTACGATACTAGAGATCATAATTGTATTTTATGTGTTGATATTTTATTTGAGGAGTTTTTAACATAATCATATACTTCGTCAACACATGATTGAATAGCAATGAAAACTTTTTGCCTTAAAGAACTTACAATAAAAAGCTGTGACCATGAAAAATATTAACCAGTTTATGACATCAATTAACGACTAAGTGACAATTATAACTGTCTTGAAACATGGTCTTGGCTACGATGGTTCGTAATGGTCCACATTATAGAGAAACAAAACGTTTCTATTGTGTCCTTGAGGCAGTTATCATGAAGGAATATAAAGGCCTAACTGAAAATTTTACTTAAAATCTAATTTATCTTTAAAAAATATAATAAATTCATTAAAAGTATTAATATAGAAACAAACCAATTTAAAAGTTTAATAAATTAAAATTTTGTCATAGATCAAGGACTGAAAGAAGATGTTTCTACAAAGAGTTAACATTTTTGAATATTGACTTCTTGGATTCTCTCTTTTTGTTGTTTGTTTGAATTAATATTTGTGTAAGGAAAATAGGTATTTTCATCCTTCGACTATGATTCCAATTATATAAAAGTCAATATTTCTTGCGTGATTGCTCGCTTATAAATTAGAGTTTTTGCAACTTTCCAGGTGCATGTTGTATTAATTAATGTAGGTCAAGCAAATGCAGCTACAGTAAGCCACAAAATTATTTTCTATTTTTTGTGCTTGTGGATAATATTCAATAAATAGTATACTAAAGTGTAGTGTCACTGTGTAACTTCATGGCATTGATGAATATTTTTCCATGAACCTAGTTTATTAAAAATAAAAATTTAATTTTTGGGGTAAAATTTTAAAAATATTTTATAGTCGATGCCTTTCGTTTCTCCGGGGAAAACAAGGTTACGAGGATATGATAGAATGTATGGAAAGCCTTGCTAAGGCATGTATCCTTTTATTTTCTTAAACTAATATTGCTTACAGTGCCCATGTCAAAATGGATTATGCTTAGTCTTTGCTACAAATTAAATGTTCATAATTGCAACAACTAAAAATGAATCAAGATGAAATATTAGTTGAGTCCACTAGTGATTGATTATAAAATAAAGAAGGAAATTGCAGAGAAAATGTATTGGGTTTTATACAGTGCTTGCTTGTGTCCTTTATGATATTTGATGGAGTTAGCTTCAAAGAAGATTGTTTTCTTCTCTAGACTTCTTCTTTCTCTTGATTTTTCATCCATGAGATCTTTGAAGTAGAAAAAACTTCAAAATGATGGAGGAGATGAGAAATGGTGACGCTACTTTAAGAGAAGATAAAACAAGAATATTGTTTCTCACCACAAGGAAAGAATTATTTATAAAAGATTCGAATAGAGTTGCACTCAAAGAGAGGAACTCAATGACTCTTGAAAAAATGAAAGAAAATTCAATCTCAATTCTCATTCAATATCAAAAGTGACAAAGTATGTACATAGAACTCTTATGTATAAAGTTTGCACTATTAAGAAATTACTGTTTTACATCGTTACATTTGCATCGGTTCTCAAAGAAACGATGTAAAAACTATATGCGGTGGCAAACTTGTAAATTAGTAGAAACTGTAAGCTCATTTGCATCGGGTTTCCTTTTAACCGATGTAGAATATATGAACAATTTCTATTCTCCTTTTCGCGCGAGCACAGTGACTTTAGCGCCTCTGAAAAATTTCGCACACGGTCATCTCTGCTGGAAGCACATTACCTTTAGGGCTAGCACAGATTGAACTTTGAAGGTACCTAGCTCGCGCGAATCACACACTAGCAAGGTCATTGATCTTCGAAGCTGATTTTCTGATACACTACTAGGCTCGTTGAAACTCTTATAGGTAAACATTGAAACCCTTCTTTCTTAGGTGTTGCGTCTCTGATCTTGTACGAATGGGTGATGATGGTTTAGGGTTTGGAGACGCTCCCGGAGGATTTTTCCCGAGATGTGTTGGTCTTGTCGTGAGTCTCTTGACGTGAGTTCGTTGCTGAAGGGAGAGGATCGCTCGAGGTGCTTGTCGAGGACGTCGTTGATTCGCTTGCGATCCTCCGATTTGGAGGAAACGGACACTCCTCCTCGCTCTTTGTACATGATAGTTACCGAATCATGGTGGGAAATGGAGAATTAGGGTTTTTGATTCAGGGAAGAAGAAGAAGAAGAGGCACCACCGATACCTACATCACATGCCAGGTGCCAACTTAAGCAATACCAAAACCATTTTCTTTTTCTCTTCCCTCATACTCCTACTCCTACTCCTCACAAATAATTCATCTATTTTTTTTCTGCGGTACAGGTTTGCTTGCAGTTTGCTTCAACAAGGCATGAAGCAGATCTGTATAACTACTCCAGTTTCGGACTCTGTAGCCACTGATGTCAAACAGTAGTGTGAGTGTATAAACTACTTTTTTTTTTCTTTAATTATGTTTTCACATTGGCATGTGAATATAATCTGAATATGAAATTGGGTTTGGTTGGTGTAGGGTGGAGAAGTGCCTTGGTCCGAAATGTTTGGCACATTTGCTCTATCAGTGGGAGCTGCTGTGAGTAATTATGGTTCAAAATTTCCGATTAAGGTTTGGATGGTTTTGAATCCAGAATTTTGGGGTGATAAATTGAAGTGGGTATGTCTGATTTTCAGGTGGGTATGGAGTTTTGGGCTAGATGGGCTCATGAGGCTCTCTGGCATGCTTCCTTGTGGCACATGCATGAGGTATGCTTTCAATTCTTTTATCTTCCATCTAAATCCTGTCTCCCTCCATCACTTCTTAAGTCAATTTTCATCACATGTAAGAAAGAATTAAGCATCAAGATTCAAACTCTGTTGATGGTTAATCATGGGTTCATTTCTTTTGGGTCTAATTGTCTAACACCACAAAGTCCAAGACCCACAATAAAAAATGTTTGGCTTTGGTTAGACTTAGACGTTGGGATGCCTCAGCGACCAATAACCATAAACTATTTGATCTGTGTGTGAAACAGAAAGTAACAAAAATATTTACTTCAATTGCAGTCCCACCATCGACCAAGAGAAGGACCCTTCGAGCTTAACGATGTATTCGCAATAATCAATGTTGTCCCTGCCATCGCTCTCCTTGCCTATGGTTTCTTTCATAAGGGATTGGTCCCTGGCCTCTACTTCGGTGCGGTGCGTGTATTCTCAAATTCTAATCTAATAATTTCTTTTTTATTTAATTTATTTATATATTATTTTCCCTGTTCCAAATAATAAGTCTATCATTCGAGTATATTTTTTTACCAAAAAAAAATGGTTTCTTTAATTAAAGATTTGATTTTTTAAACAAGTTCTTAATAACGAATTTTATAAATGAAAAAATATGATTAAATACTAAAATGGTTAGCCAAATTTCTAATAGAGTGGGTGATATTTTGTATTGATAACTTATTTATCCTTGTCCTTTCCTTTGATTTTGCATGTGTTCTTTTGTGTCCTTTCATGCTAGGGTTCATTTGCTTTGAACATTTAATGTCTTTATTTTCTATTTATACTTTTAATTACAAAAAATGCTATGTTGTTGTTGTTTTAGAGTTCAACAGTTTAGGAAATAGTGAAAGCAGAAAAAATGAAAACACAAAATAATAAAAACTTGTTTTCACCATACTTTTCCTTATAAAAATTTTTGAAAACAGAAAATAAAGACATTTTAATAATTAAAAAAGTGAAAATAGAAAATGAAAACAGAAAAAAACCAAATGACTCCTAAATTTTTCTGTTTATTTTTTATTATTGATATGGTACTATGTTTTGATAACATAACATGTGTGTTTGTGGTGGGTGGCAATATTCTAAACCAGTTTTGATTTAAGCATTTGATTGTTCATTTTTTTTTCTTCTATTTTTTCTTGGTAGGATCTCTAAAAGGGAAAGATGACAGTGCAACAAAATCATCAAAGGGAAGGAAGGTTCAGTTTTCTAAAGAAGTTTAGCTTCTTTATTCTATTAGCTTCGTACTGGTTGTCAGTGGAGTATGCAAGTACTAGAGCTTCTATGTGATGCGGTTCATTTTTTGAGTGATCTGAACCTTTTGTTCTCCTGTTGTAGATCATTTGACAAGGGACTGCAGTATGCCAAAAATAATAGCAAGTATACAAATCCGCAGTCTACTAGACGTGTTCTTGAGTATCCTTAATTTTTTGGTGTGGTGTGTGTTAATGCATATGTTGTTAAGCAACTTGTTTAGTTCTTGACTTTGTTCGCATAGATTGATGACCATTGCTGTTGATTCTTATACTCTTTTCTCCTTTTCTTGATAATGTTCATCTCTTGACTCAAATATCAGACCTCTTGCAAAATGTGGTCTCACTGACAGTGAGGTAATGATCATATTATAATTTCCTTTTTTCATGTGTTATATTAAATCATTAATGAAAGGAGTTATGGTTGTTTTCTTATTATGTAATAAGGTTCTTTCACTATTTATAAGTTAGTGTTTACTAAGAAGGAGCTCTTCCTTGGATAAGTAACTGCAGTGGCAAAATTGATTTAATTTTAGGCCAACAATATTTGGATAGGGTAGGTGTCTTGTGATTTTTTGGACAAGTGTCTATAATATGAGTTGGGTAAGGAAAATGGTTTGCGAGTACAGATCAAAAGGATAAGAATCACGGACTGTTCTGAGAGTCCTGAGATTTCATTGAATTTGGGTGTGTCTACTCTCTAGATACAAAGGAATTAAATACACTTTGTCACATTCCTCATTCTCTTTTTACTGTTATCATGTTTGTACTAAACAAAGTTTCATATTGAACATTTCAGCCTTAAGTTAATTTTTCATTGAATAATTACTTAGTTCCTTAAATATTTTAACTTTTTTGAACTGTTGCAGGTTGTTCTGTCATTACTTGCTTAAAAGGTTTATGCTATAGCTATGCTTATAAAAAAGGTAAGAACTATATTTCCTTAATGATTTTGTGTAAATTGATGCCTTTTGTGTAAATTGAAGTTGTCTTATAATGAGAATGAGTTAATATAATCAAGGTTCTAAAAAACAATTTTAGCCACAATGTCAGGGTGTTTAGGGTCTCTGAAACTGCAATTTTTGTTGCATTGATCGCAATTAACCAATTTAAAACCTTGGTTATATTTAATTTTTTTTTCGCTTGTAATTTTGGTATATAGAACTCAACTACTCAAGTGTAAACTGCTAAGTGGCTTTCATTTCAAATTGTTTGCATTATCACTTTCCATGGACTCAACCAAGCATCTTGATATCACTGTCAGTGTAGAGCTGGTGTTACTATGTTGTGAGAATGTGATGCTTTTTTGTTTAGGTTATCCGGCTTTTTTGGCAAATCATCCACAATTTGGAATTGCATTAATGACTGCTGATAGGAAAGCTGGGCATCCAATCTCGTCTGTATTACCGCATTTGAGCACTCAGGTACGGTTGGTTTTAGATATGATCATGTGTATTTAAGAAGATATTTTTCTTCATTTCTAGCTATTATTATCGTGAAGACAAATAGCTTATAATGGCTGCCTGGGAACAAATACCATGTCATAGTAGGCTGTTTCATGCTTTAATATGGTTTGTTATTGTGATTTTGGTGGACAAGTTTTATAACCTTCATTTTCAGGATTTTTCTTCATTAGTTGTAGATGAAAATTAAAATTAATTACATATGCCATGTAATGTATTTTTTGTGTAAGTGAATTTGTTCTTTTTGTCTATTTTGATTTGTTTGTGGGTTTTGTTTAATCTTTTAATTTCATGCACATTTTTAAAAATCTGACAGAGAATTATATATGTGTTTATTACAGGTTAAATTAGAAAGTACCTAAAATCAAACGAATTTTTCAAAAAAAATAAATTAATAATCTACATCGATTTAGACACAAATAGATGTAAATGGGGGTCTAATTTTACATCGGTTGTGCAAAAAACAGATGTAGAATTTGTACATCATTTTACATCGGTTCTTCCCACAACCGATGTAAATTGGTGTACAAATTTACATCAGTTATACAAAGAACCGATGTAAATTTGTACATCATTTTACATCGGTTGTGGGAAGAACCGATGTAAAATGGTTTGCATTTACTACGTCGCTCCATTTTACATCGGTTTTAGAACCGATATATATAGTGTTAAAAAACCGATGTAAAATGTGTGTCTTGTAGTAGTGTTGGTAGCTTGTGGTGTCAATTAATCTAACCAAGGTTAGGTTAACTTATACTCAAGCCAACTAACTTTAATTTAAATTTGAAATTCAAATTTGAATTTTCCTCCAAAAATGATGTCAACATCTTAGATCTAGAAGAGAAAATAAGAGCTTGCCACATGGTAATTAAGGTGCAAAAGGTGTGATGGGATGTGTTAGTAGAAAAGAGAGTGTAGAATTAAATATGCAAAAAGTGTGATTAGTGCGTGAAACATGTGACTTGGTGATGTGTGAACCAATGAAAAAATGTCAGGATCAATATGAACAAATGAACATCCACATAATAGATATAACTCTTCACTCTCTCTTGACCTAAACAAGTTCAATAAACACATTTTTCAAGTACTAATTGCACCCCCATAAAATACTAAATACACCCCTAAAGAAAAATACAAGAAAGTAAATTTCTAATCTAATTGACCAAAAAATGTAAGGCCAAAAATAAATGAAATATTTATAAATATTAACAAAGAAGAAAAAAAGAACTACAAAAAGTAACACATGAACTTAGACCTTTTAATATAATCCACTCCTCTTAACTTCTTTTTGTATGTGATCCCTTGACATGATTGCATCAATATTACTTTATAAATTATATGAATTAAGTATTCACAAAATCAAGGATGAAATATGTTTTGGTGGATTTTTTTTTCTCATTTAAGAAAAGTCTACAATCTTGGTTTATTAATTGATAAAATATTAGGCAATCCAAAACTTTCTTGAATGTAAGGAATTATTTTTCTTGAATGAAATATTGAAGGCGTGTATAAAAAACACATTTACAAAATCTTTGTACTGATATCTATAAAGAAATAACCCAATCAATCATAAATGCACACTACTACAAAATTGCAAAATAGCGACCGAAATTAGTGACCGAAATTTATCAGTCGCTATTTAGCGACTAATTTAGCGACCGATTATCAAAAATCAAAATAGCGACCGATTTAGCGACCAAAATAAGTCATCGCTAGAAAATTGGTCGCTATTTCGGTCGTTAAATAAGAAATTTTAATTTTTTAGCGACAGAATTAAATTCGGTCGCTATTTTGGTCGCTAAATTATAAATTTTGAATTTTTTAGCGACGGAACTAAATTCGGTCTCTATTTCGGTCGCTAAATTATAAATTTCGAACTTTTTTAGCGATGGAATTTAATTTGGTCGCTAAATAATAGTTAAAATTAGCGACAAAATTGGATTCGGTCGCTAAATAGTAGTTAAATTTAGCGACGGAATTTAATTCGGTCGCTAAATTATAAATTTTTGATTTTTTTAGTGACAGAATTAAATTCGGTCTCTATTTCGGTCGCTAAATTATAAATTTTGAACTTTTTAGCGATGGAATTTAATTTGGTAGCTAAATATTAGTTAAAATTAGCGACAGAATTGAAATCGATCGCTAATTAATAGTTAAATTTAGCAACAAAATTGAATTCGGTCGCTAACTTATAAATTTTGATTTTTTTTAGCGAAGGAATTTAATTCGGTTGTTAAATAATAGTTAAAATTAGCGACGAAATTGAATTCGGTCGCTAAATAGTAGTTAAATTTAGCAATGGAATTGAATTCGGTCGCTATTTTAGTCGCTAAATTATAAATTTTGATTTTTTTTAGTGACGGAATATAATTCGGTCGCTAAATAGTAGTTAAATTTAGCGATGAAATTGAATTCGGTCACTAAATAGTAGTTAAATTTAGCGATGGAATTGAATTCGGTCGCTAAATAGTAGTTAAATTTAGCGACGGAATTGAATTCGGTCTCTAAGTATTAGTTAAAATTAGCTACGTAATTGAATTTGGTCGCTAAGTATTAGTTAAAATTGGCGACGGAATTGAATTCAGTCGTTATTTCAGTCGTTAAATTATAAATTTTGATTTTTTTAGCGACAAAATTTAATTCGGTCGCTAAATAATAGTTAAAATTAGCGATGGAATTGAATTCGGTCGCTATTTTGATCGCTAAATTAGAAATTGATTTTTTAGCGACGAAATTGAATTCGGTCGCTAAATATTAGTTAAAATTAGCGACAAAATTGAATTCGATCGCTAAATAGTAGTTAAATTTAGCGACAGAATTTAATTCGGTCGCTAAACCAAAAATTTTGATTTTTTTAGCAATGAAATTAAATTCGGTCGCTAAATATTAGTTAAAATTAGTGACGGAATTGAATTTGGTCTCTAAATCAGAGATTTTATTTTTTTAGTGACAGAATCTTATATGAATTCAAGATGATTTGATACTTTATTCTAGTAAAACAAAATTGATATAATATATTCATTTCAAATAAAATATGAGCACTTTGATTACTTTTAAGTTATTGATTAATTTTAACAAAAATTGATATAAACATATAAAGTGATATGAACTTTCAATCTATCAGTTGGATTTACAAAATTCACATTTAATATAAATTTATTGAATGGTGTAATACTTAGTATAAAAGTTATACCAGTGTTATTATAACCCTTCTCATTTTAAAATATATAAATTATTACTTAAACTTTTAAATTTATAATAAATAATTTAAATTGTATCATAAAATTAATTTTAAATAGAAATAAGTAGATTGTTAATTATAAAAGTAAGTATATATATAAATAAAGATTAATTAAATATAATATAATTATTACTATTAGTAATATAATTATTATATATATTATTATATATTTATAACGGTCCGGATATACCAAAATGATAAGGATCCAAAAATAATATAAGTATGAGATTGGATAGTTGAGGATGACTTAAATGAATTAATTTGTACTACTTATACTAACAACTTCACAGTTAAGCGTGCTTAACTTGGAGTAATGTAGGGATGGGTGACCTTCTGAGAAGTTTCCAAAAATTGTGTAATTAAGGACATAACATGCTACAAACTTTTTTTTTTTTTTTTTGAACGGCAAATGTTAATGGTTAGTTTGTTAATTGTTAGTAGGGAGATTCGAACCCACACCCTCTTAGTCACTCAACCCTATATCCCTCTCCCCAAACCACTTGGACCACCCTTATCACTCCACAACATGCAACAAACTTAACTATTGTGAAATAAAATCCTTAAGAGGCTAAATATGAGTGGTTCATAGAGACCAAATTTGCGACGTCTATAAAATTTAATAAAATAAAAAATAAATATTTAGCGACTGATTTATTCGGTCACTAATTTGGTCCCATATACTTCAGCGACCAAAATCATCTCAACCATTTAGCGACCGAAAATTTTTCAGTCGCTAAATAACTTAGCGACTGATTAAATTCGGTCGCTAAGGTAAATAGCGACCAATTTTGATGGTCGCTAAATTGCATATTTTTTGTAGTGGCACAATGACATCACCACGACGGTTGTGGAGAAAGTGTCGGTGACAACAATGTTTTTTTCTCTCTTCATCCTCTCTTCTTAGCATCAACCTCTATTTGTTAATACAAATAGAAGATGCCAATTTTAGTGTTGACCCTTTTAATTCTAACATAGCATCCATTTTAGCATCAATTATGATCAGAAAGTCACTGCTATCAAAGTCAACACAAAATAGACATTGAAGTCTCGTGTTGATTTTCATTAGTTAGCATTGTCTTTTAATAAATACTAGTATACGTTTTACTTGTATTAATTAAAGAATTTATACTTGACAATTTGAAAGATATCTTCTGTCTTCTGTCTAGCTTTAAGTTAATATGAATACTTTTTTAACAAATACTTAAAAAAAGAATAAATAATCAATAAGCTGTATAATAATCAAAATTTTCACATAAGTTGAAAATCAACTTACAAACTTCTAATTTTTCATAACTTCCCTAATCTAACATTTGCATAAACGCATAAACTTATAAGATTGAGTTCAAAGAAATAAATGTGACAACACATGATCTTTATAATGAAATTTTGAAATCACATACTACATCACATGAATTGGACACATGTAATCGCAATCACAATTTGAATTCATACATTTTTATTCCCATTATAAATTTGTTTGCCCATAATAACTCACAGGCTATCATATCACGAACTTGAAACATTGAACATTGGTTTATTACTTAGCAACAATGTATTATATTATCACATATACTTAAGTTTTACTCTCTCTTTTTTAACAAAAGTTACATATGCATTTTATCATTCAAGAATATTTTGGATCCTCATGACATCAAGGCATTGCTTCTCTTGTGGCTTGCGCGAAAAGTATATTTTGTAGTAATCCCCCGCAACAATTTGCTTGAATGATGCAGGTCTTTCGGCAGTAACAAGGCTTGGTGTTGGGCCTATTACTTTGTTATTTTGAGAGCGATGAAAGGTGGCAATAGAAATTCTCTCTTTTTTTGAGTTAACTGCTGCTCGATGTTCTACACTTCGATAAATCCCATTGGTTATGATCTGCCAAACCATTTAAAATTGGTAGCAAAAATTATTTCAAAATTATAATTTACTAAATTTTCCTACCATGCATGGTAGGAACATTAGGTGTTTGACTAACTCTTATAATGCCATCAATTTAACCTTGACTACATGGTATATAATTGTTACAATTCAAACATCATATAATGTGTAGCTCATGCCAAATTAATTTTGTTAATTAATCCTTACTGCATGGTTAAGTGTGTATTAGAATTTTTATTCTTACACACACACAAAAACAATTGAATGTGTAAAGTGACAAAAAAAAAAAAAGATCATGAAAGATTTCTTGTCAAGTACCTCTAAAGTGTCTCCAAGAATAATGTCAAAAGCATTAGATATGGGTTTAACAGGTATCCACTTTCCATCTTTTTTCAGTTGGAGGCCTTCTGTTTCATTGGCTTGAAGAATGATGGTAAGGCCACCAACATCAGAGTGAGAATCCAATCCAATAACATTTTCTGGTTGGGGACATGGAGGATAGTAATTCCACTTCATTGCTTGACATAAATTTTCAAATAACTCTAGCACTTCATTTTGTTTAATCTTTAAAGCTATTGTCATATGTTTGATAATTGTGATGCAAAGTTTTTCCATTTCTAAAGAATAATTCTCCATGTTAATCCTGCATTTGAAATAACTTTAGTTAGGGTTACCTACATAATCACACTCAAACTTTTAGTCATTAAAGGTGTAACATATAGTTAGCAAGCAAATACTAAGAGAATGAGAACAACCTCAATGGATGGGGAAAACTATTAAACAAGCGGGGATTCCTTATGTGAAGTGGAAGAGTGTAAATAGTGAAAGGGTCTATCCAATCCATCTTTTGTTCATCAAACAAATAATGACCAAAGCCCTCGAAATCTTCTGGCGTATTCCAAAACTGCTTCTTCTCTTCCATTGGAAGATTAAGGAACTCTAGAACACTTCTCTTCAAACTTTCCACCAATGAAGGGTTGACTCCATGATTAATCAACTACAATTGATTTGAAATAAGAAATCAAATTTCTAAAGCAAACGAAATTAAATTTGTCCTTCATGAACCTTTTTAGTTATTATATATGTTGAAATGCCTCAAATGGCATATTCATGAGACTTGATTAAAACCAAAATCAATTTTTATATTACATGGCTTGTTATTGATATGAACTATGAAATACCTTAAAGAAAAAATAAAGACAAAATTTAGGTGTAATTTTTTAAGTATTGTTTATGAATCAGAATTAGAATTTTATCTCAGTAATACGTGTTTATATTTAATAAATATATATTATTAAAGATTACATTAAATGTAAATATATATTATTGAGATAAAATTTAAATTTTAGCTAAAAAAAGTAATATTAGTTATATTTAAAAAATTGTAACTAAGTTTTGTCAAAAATAAATAAATAAAGGTATTAGTGTCCAAATTTAACAACGAAAATTGCTTCACTAATTCTACATACACAAATTTTTAGTAACGATTTTTCTTTATGTTATAAATGAAATGATTTGTTGATAATTTTAATTTTTTTATGGCGGTATTATCTTTCGTTTTTCTTTTTTTAAAAGTGGAAGATAGAATGAACTATCTAAAAGCATTTAACTAATTTACCATTTATAGTTGTCGATCAAAAATATGTGATGAAAGTAACGATGGATCCAGAAATTTTAAGTAATAGGAGTAATATTTACACATAAATTTGTAATATTAAATGTGTAATTTTACATTTTTTTGAAATATAAATATACATTAAACTGTTCCCTATGAGATTTCATATTTTAAAAATATTGAACAATTTTCTCCTTTTCAACATTTTCAAAAATATCTTTCTATATCCTATATAAAAAATTTGACCTTTGTTCATTTTAAAAATAGTATAATATGAATTTAGGTCAATCATGACTCCTTAATTTCTTTACCGACTTGACTTAACTATAATTAATATTCTCATTATCTCATAAGTATGATTTTAGGTTTTTTTTACACATGTTAGAAATAAGAAATCTTGTGATTAATCTTCTTTACTATAAATAATGCAATACAATATTCACTTTCTAAAAAATATTATGAAGGGTATATATGAAAAAATTAATATTATATTAAAAAGTTAACATGACACTTATTTAAAGATTTATTTTTTCTTTAAATATGACTCTTATTACGAGACAGAGTATTATATATACTATAAAGAAATACTTCAAAAACTTAATATATTAACTTTGACTTTTTAACAAAATAAAAATATCAAAAAGAGTAGGAGTACTTAGTTTTTAACATGGCAAGTGTGAGTACATTATTATAAATTTATAATGGGTTTAAATATGTTTTTAATATATCAAATTTAAGGTAAATTTATTTTTAGTCCATCAAATTGAAAATTGATCTTTTTAATCCTTGTAATTTCAACAAAATCTTGCTTTAATTTTTATACTCAAATTTTATTAGGAAATCTATCAAATATTGACGCTTAAAATCTATCTACTGATATTTTTATCAGTAAATGTATCATATTAAATCCAATTGAAACTACATTACTATCTTAATTTATCACTTTTATATGTTATTGATGACTTAAAAGATTAAAATAAGATTTTTAAAAATTATAGAAACTAAAAATAATAATTTTAAAATTAAGAAAATAAATATATATTTAAATTTTAATTATATATATAAACTAATTAAATATAAAAAAAAATGTTAGTGGGACAAATGTCCCACTATTCCTCAATGGATGGAAGGAGATAAAATCCTTGCGGGACTTTATAGTGATCATATGATCATTCATTTTTCATGATATTTTTTAAAAAGTTATCATTTATATAATTATACAACATTTTATACAATAATATTTTATGTGTTATCATTCTTTATGTTATAATTTATTATGGCATAATTTATTATATTTCATACTTTTCTCTCTTTTTCTTTCTTTATTGTAATCTTTATTGTAAGAGTTATTGTATAAATATTAAATAAATATATATTTTTTTTTTTTATCATTTATCATACTTTTAAGATTTATTTTGATATTTTATTTTTGGAAATAACATTTTAATTAGTTTTTTATTTTTTAAATTTGTGTGATCAATTTAATTTTTTTAAAATAATAATTATTTTCAATTTTACTTAATAATTTTAAATATTTTTAAATATTCAAAAATGACACTTGTTTTATTTTATTCATCTATATAGAAAACTCATTTATTGTTCAAATAAAAAAAGAATCATAAATATGATCAAGATTCCATGAAAATAAATTCAACGAATACCTAAGATATTAAAAACATGCAATGTCATATTCTTTTTTTTTCTTTTTTAGGTTCGTTCCTGGAGTATCCACCGCGGACAGCAGTGACTAATCTCCTCGCTAGGTTGGAGGCACCTCAAAGGGTGGGATAGCAGGCCCCAAGATTTAACGCGGCTGCATACACAAGGCAGGATTCGAACCCCTAACCTTGCTTAAGCGTGGATCAACCCCTACCGCTGGGGTTTGTCATATTCTTTTCTGATTGTTCATGAGATTTATCTTTTACGAAATTTTTCAAACATCAATTGTTTCAATATATAATTATCCCGATGAATTTAATTGGACAAGATTCACGTCTTAAATTAATAAAAAAAACATTTTAAATTATGTCATATAATTGAAAACTACGACTATTTCGAAATAACAAATTGACTTGATTTTAAAAACAAAAGAGCTATAGTTTTCTTTTAAAAAAAATCCAAATAAATATATAAAAAAAATAAATAAATAAATATATAATTTAAGAAACAATTGATATTATTTTTCCGTATATAGTATAATGTAATCTTTTTCAGGGGCGGATTCATTCATATGATAGTGGGTGTAGTTGTCTCCACTAAAATTTCACACACACACACACACACACATATATATATATATATATATATATATATACACGTGTGTGTATAAATTATATTTTAATTTATTACAAAAAAATATTGTTAAGTAATGACACACATATTATAGAGATATGATACTTATTATTAAAAATCATTTTTGCATAGACTATAGATACAATATATGTTGATATGTTATTAAAAGAAGTGTAAATATAGACTATAGTAACACTTTTTATATGTGATTATATGTAACATTTTTTTGCAATGATTGTTTTTATATCTAATATGTTAAAATATATTAATCTTTCATTTATATTTTATTCTATCATGTAATTTCTTTCACTTTATGACAAAATTGTTTAAATTTATTATTATTATTATTATTATTATAATATACTTTATTTTTTGACTGAAAGATTTATTACTTCTTTATTTATTAAATATGTCATAATTTAGTTTACAAATATAGGTTATTTTTTTATTTTTATTTTTTGTTTCTAACCCTTATAATCCTATATATGTACATTATGTGTTGGTGGGAGAGGATCCAAATTAAGAGGAATGAGAATAATTGTCACACAAAGTTTTTATTTTTATTTTTACTTAAACATATTTAATAAAAAATAAATTTACTCTTATAAAAAGAATAAGTGTTGTTCTCATAAAATATTTTTGTTTTAAATGAGCATAGAAATTTACAAAAGATAAAAAAGAAAATAAATAGTAATTATATTATTTTTATCTTAATAATTTATACCATTTTATTCTTTTAAAATTAAATAAATCACTAAAAATTACAACATCACACTTAAATATAATATCTGACAGAAAAATAAATTATCATTCTATTTATGAGGAAATTTTAATTTATAAAAAAATAGGTATATTAAATTTTTATCACAAAAATAAACTTTTAAAAAAATTATTATATTTTTAATAAAAAATATTATAAAATATTTTATTGCTCCAACTTAACAATTTTTCTGAATCAGTCACTGATATTACTTGTCAACTATAGTTTCATTATAATGCATGTACATTATTCATTATTGGATTTTCATTTTATCGATGTAAACCAAAGTATGGATGTAACTTTGGCAGAAGTTTTAACTATTGAAAAGAAAGAAAAAAAAAAGTTAAGAAGGAGTATTAATTCAAACCTGAAAGAAACCCCATTCCTTACATGCATGGTCTAGCCTCTCAAGCTCATCTAGATCTCCAGACACCAATTTACTGAGGTCGATGATTGGGACTTGTGGTAAAGAAGTTGTGTCAGTTTGAGTGTCTAGATTTGGACGAATATATTGCTCTGGAACTTTGGTGATTGGTTCCTTTGCCAACTCTTGGAGAGAAGGCACCAATAAAGAGGCTCCAAACTTTGACATTGTCTTCACCTATTCAATCCTCTTGCTTCGGTTTATTTGATTTCAGCTATTGGACCCAACACTTGCTTTGGGTTATAAAGGTTTCCCTACCAAGTTTTAATTACAATTTCATTCCAAATAAATGGGACTCTTTGACTAAAATGGAATCATTTTAAAACTAGTGTTTACTAAAGAAGGGTTGTTGTCAACATTGAAAAACGCAAGTAACACTGTTGTTTGCTTTTCTTAATAATAGAAAAGTTTAAATTAAAATAAAATATGATTATATGTAAAGTCAGAATCAAACTATTATGTAACATTGTTTTTTTCTAAATCATGTGTCATTATTTTTAAAATTAAAAATTATTGATGCCTTCTAGTATATACATATGTGAAAAATGCAATAAGTCAATTTGTTAACTAAAGACATAATAAGAGCATCTCCGATGGGAGTTGCTTATAAGCAATCCCTCTGCTACATCATGTCACATCAGTTATTTTTACTTTATGGGTTGCTTAAATTTTAGTACTGGAACTTCTACAAACAACTTTGCTAAAATTTAAGCAACTCATAAAGTATAAAAGAGCTGATGTGACATGATGTGACACAGAAAGTTGTTTATAAATAATTCCCACTGCAGATGCTCTTACATGATCTTTCACGTGGTAGAAGGCATTAGTTGAATGCTACTTTTCCTTCTTTAATGTGTCAATATATATTTTTTTTAATTTTTACTTTGATGCAGCTGGATGCTATTTTTCCTTCTTTAATTTTTTTTTTCTCCTACTTGACGTAGTAATGTTGTACATTTTTTTTCTGCATCAATTATCTCACTTTAGTTGTTAAAAGCTCAACTAATTTGTTGATACTTGAGCAATGTTTCCTTTCCTTTTTTGATTGTGACATATATACATTAAAAAATACATATAAATCTCAAAATATTTTAAGTTAATCTATTCTTAAAATGATTTATAATCAAATTTGACACAATTGATAAATAACTTTATCTCTTAAATATGTAGTTAGGAATTTGATTCTTAATCTGTACAGATAAAAAAAATTATTAATTAGAAGAGTTATTTTTTTGAATAAATTTCACTACATCAAAAAAATTTATGAATGATCAAGATTATAGGTAATCTGTAAATCTAAATCAACTCAATCACTCAAATCATATTGTTTTAGTATTTAGGTCAAATTTAACTCAATCCATTCATATGTACGAGTTTTGTTATGAGTTTTGATTTTTAAATACAACTTAATCCAATTCACACACTTGATCAACATATTATTAATTTTACTATATACATAAATTAAAAATACAAAATTGTCTTTAGCCAATTAAATTAAAACTACATATACATGTTACATTTTGGTTGGGATGGACCTTGAGCAAGTCAACCATGCATATATCTATTGCATCTTTCATAATACATTATGGAAGGCAACATCAACTTTTCATTTTAAAAAAAAAATTAAAAAAAAAAAAAACGCTATCGTCTAAAGAACGTAATGTTGACGTGTCAATGGTTTGTTTTTATTTTTTTTTTCCACATATTGAATCATATAGCAAACTTAGATACAGTTGATTTTTCTCTCTGAGATTGTATTAAAAGATGTTTAGAGAAGAATTTATGATTCTTTTTTAAAGTCTCAAATCTTCTTTACGTCACGAGATCTCATTAAATCCCACTACAACAAAAATTATTTTTATCAACAATTATTTAACAATAATAAATTAATTATCTTTATTTTATTATTTAATAAAAGTATTAATGACTAATATATAATGGTCATTAAAAATATATTTATATAATACCAAAATTTACTATTAGTGACAATTATTTATTAAGAAAAATTTTAGTCTCACATCGACTAGAAATAAGATAATTAAAGAGTATACAAATGAATAATAACTCTCACCTTATAAGTTTGTTATGTAGGGTTGAGTTAAACCTATAACTTACTACTCTAAGTTGGTATGAGATTACTCACTATTATCAAAATCAATAGTCTTTAAAAATATATATAAGTAGAAGACAACCCTCATCTTACAAGTCCCACATCGATTAGAAAGTAAAAAATGTCAAAAAAAAGTTATACACTTTTTCAACCATTATAAAGGTTTTTACCAGCATTTAGAATAATTGCCGTTAAATATTTTAGCGACACTGCATAAATGATAATGTGAAAATGCCGGTAAAAAATTTTGTAACAATTTTTATTACCACTAAAAGTCATATTAAATACCATTAAAAGTCTATTTTGTTATAGTATCTGTTATAGCTGCAAAAACAGAAACCCTTACAAAGCGATAGATGTAAAAGAATTAATTAATGACAAATAGTTCACATCACAATGAATTGCATTAGTTACTTATAATTTGTTAGAAAACTAAAACAGGTTCCTTTGTGAAACAAAAGCCGTGCGTTATTATTGTATAAATCTCTATATTCTGAATGGAAATTGGAAACAACCAAAGCATGGAATCTTGTAGTGAACATGCATCAGCAGAACCAAATTGAAGTTTCAAGGACAAAAAATAGCAAGTATCAAAATGCATATCATGATAGCACCAAGCACAATTAATTCTTGAAATTGGACATCCTAATTTAAAGTCAACGGTTACCTGTATCCATCAACAGCAAAAAAAAGAAGTGCAAATGAGATTCTTCTTACCTCGTTTCCCAACTAAAGCTAAAGATAGTTTCAAAGGTGGTTTAAGCTGGCTCTATGAAAGAGTGAATCAAAGACTTGAATGATTAGTGTTTATGAATTAAATGGGGAATAAATAGATTGGTGGAATGAAAGGTTTGAATATGGTACCCTTTAAATTAAGTCATATTCTATTTTAAATTATAACAGTTACTATTATTTTTGTTTAAAGTAAATTGTATTAATCAATATTATCTTTGACTTCAAATTAAATCTTATTTTATGTTAAGCTTTAATAAATCTTATTATCAAGGAGGTCTAGTTAGTTACATAGTTGAGTAAGGTGCGTGAGTATTTATAAATTTTTTAGTACTTTGATTTTTATAGTAAAAAAACTTCTTATCTTAAAAATATTATTTTAATTTATAATGTTGTTTTTAAATTTAAATCAAATTAAAAGTGTTTTATAATAATATGCATTGAAATAATATAATTAAGTGGTTCAAATTTATATAATTAAACAATTGTATATGAAAAAAAATGAGTTTAATAGTGATGCAATGACAACCAACTTTATATTATATATCATCAAAATACAATCTATCATAAATGATAAATTTGTTAATTTTTACAATAATTACCTTAAAAGTCATAAAATTTGTGATTTTTGATTAAGTGACTATGTAAAATCTTTTATATTGCTAGTGTATGATCATTAAACTTTTATATATGCAAGATATATATTAAAATTAATTTTAGTTTTTTATAATCATTATCGGTACAAAGAATCCGTTATTTTTCTAATGATTAATTTGTCGTAAGCAACTGAACCTATACAAGGCAAATATTTTTCTAATATAATTTATTCCATATAGGATTCAAACTTTAAACATAAATGGCTGCCATTTGTTAGGGTCAACCCAAGCATAAGGTCATTAAGGCCATTGTTTTGAGCCCCTTAAAAACAATGTTTTATAAATTACCATGAGACTAGTTATTAGTAAGTGCATAATGTCTAGTGATAGATACTATGTTATCATTTCTCTTTTAAAGACATTAATTATCATTAAAATTTATATTATTAGTCTATTAAATATTAAATATGATTAAAAGTTAGCTCCAACATTTTGTATTCCCTAATCATTCTCTCTTATTCTTTGAGACCTCTCATAACATCCACACGTACTTTATATCTCAAATTTTTAATCTTCAAATCACTTATCAGTCTCATCTCTTCTCTTTCACAATTGACACCTTCACAATTCAATTATTTTGTTGTTAATTGTTTGAGTTTGTACGTATTAGTTCATCATTTTTCAGAAGCTAAAAATTATTCAATCTAATGTTACATATATTTTTTTTTCTTTTCTTCTTATTATCGCGATTGTCATCTTTCACTCTTTCTTATTTTTTTTTGGCGTTTGGTTGTTTACAATACTTACTATCATTGAAATGAGATTTTATTTTTATTTTTCCTTATTTTACATTTTTTGAAAGTTGAAACACTTAACTGTGATAGTGTAATATTGTTCTTAACATCTACTTAAATTTAGTAGGATTTTCTTCTATCAATTTTTATTTTTATTTTTATTTTTTAACATTGTATTTTTTTTACAATTTTTTTATTGATTTTTTTCCATTTTGATTGTTTTTATTTAAATGATTCTATCCATTTTGATTGCTTTTATATTCTTAGTTACTCATTACACGAAATTGAAAGTTAGTAAAATTAATAAAAGGGAATGAAGGATTATAAAATATGACAAAGTTGGTTTGTCCTTTACCATTTTTTGTAACACCTTTACTACCTCAACACATATATTGTAATAATGAAAACTTACAAATAAATTTTTCAATTTCGGTAAAAGGGTTCACATGAGAATCTTCAAAATTATTCTTCAATAAAAATAATAAAAATGAAACACAAGAGTTTACAAATTGTTTTCAAAAATAATATTTACAATTCCAAATCCATATAAAAATATATGTCTTAAAAATTCTCTGCCCCGATGTCACAATATCAGAGCATACCCACAATTCAACTGTTGGCATTCTAGATGTCACTCGTAGTCGGATCTGCCTCACCTAAAACATCTACAATCTATACGGTGAGAAAAGAAAAAATATATATGCAAAGCACATACAAACACACCACAATGTAATCTCATCATAACTCATTACTTAATAAAATATTTACAAGCATTTATATATATCATAATTTATCAATCATTCATCATCTTCACATTTTAATTCACAATTACATCAATCCACACAATCCACATAAATCTTACAATTAACACTATGTCAAGACCACGCCACAACTGACACAAGTGATATGGGTTAATTGCCTCACTCATCCCACACCATGCCAGGGGCACGCTCGTCCTTGTAGCATCACTTACCCAAGGTTCGTCTCATCCCTGGTCATTAGTGTGAGGAACCACAATCACATTACATGATCCACACAAGTCTTGCAATTAACCCTATGTCAGGGCTTCCATATTTGACATAAGTGATGTGTGTTAATTGCCTCACTCATCCCACACCATGCCAGGGGCACGCTCGTCCTTG